CATACCTTTCACGGCGGCGAAAGACGCAAGTACCTTGTTATTCTTGACTAAGTCGTACAATTGTCATTGGTATTGTCATTGTCATTTAGTAGTATGTTTATTGAATATTGTTTTTTCTTTGGTCCGGCAAAGACACTTTGCAGGCCAAGTCTAATGAGTCTAAAGTGCTGAACCCCATGATGTCATGGAGAATGTGTCCTGATCATAGCTAAAAATATCTTATTCATTAAGACAGCTAAAACCTAAACACCAAACCCCTCTTTGTGCGTATGCTTCCAAGGAGCCCCGCAAACTGATACATGGTGGCTTTTCGAGTCTGGCGTGATGGACATGCACCATCCCCAGCCTTCTCCTAATGTGGGGGTTTCCGAAAATTAAGGGTACCCTTTTGGGGGGCGGGGTCCCCCTATTTAAGGAATCTACCCATATAACCCTAAACCCTAACCCGTTTTCAGCTGTCTCCTTGTCCTGGGAGATGTGCTTCACCCGGCAATCGAATCCGCGACCCTTCAAGTATGCAAACCGGCCTCGGCCCCTTTGAGGTTCTTCTTTGCAGGCCCTGGGCCACAGGAAGTTCTACAAAGGCAATGGGGGTCATGTGGAACATGTCAGGGTTTCAGGGTTTAGGGGGTTTAGGGGTTTAGGGTTTAGGGTTTCAGCTTGAGGTTTAGGGTTTGGGGTTGAAAAGGGTTTTAGGGTTCAGGGTTCAGAGTTTAGGGGTTATGGGTTTAGGACACACGTTGTTGCAGAAATAGTCCAAGGCCCAGGGCTGCACAGAACCTGCAGGTATCACACCGTCACCGGGATGCCGCCTCAATCATGCTTTGCTTTCTGTCCAGTCAACTGCCAGTTGTGTCATTTGCTATGTTGAAAGCTACTATCACTATGATTACCATGTTTATTACTACTATTACTCTACTATTGTTTCCATTTTTGTTACTATTGCCATTACTTCTGTTTCCATGATGGCCATTCTCATTAAGGTTCCCGCGAATGCCTCCCATCTCAACTCTAGGCAAGCATCAGCCAGGACCTCGGCCTGCGCAGGGTAGTGGCGTGTTTTGTTTTTTTTGGTTGCTGGGGGGTTGGTAGGGAATAAGGGAATAAGATGCCTTTGGAAATCAATGTGTGAACACTTTAGGATTTAGGGTGGGTAGAAGATAAGGAAATACATTGTATAGGGGTATAGGGATGATAATGGGATTATATTCCTTGATCCTTTGCTAACCAGTAGTTGGTTTGTGTGCCATGGAGGTCCCGATGGAACTACGTCGATGTGGAAGATTCCATTGGAGTGAACAGGAGCTTCAGAGTTGCACTCGCTGCAGCGTTGCTGGATGCTGAAATCAGGAAGTTCGATCAACATGACATTCCTTACGATGTTCTCTGGCTTGATATCGAGCACACGGACAGCACCCTGACCTAATTCTTTTGGGCTTCAGATCTTTGAATTTGGCACGTTCCATGCTGTAAGGCAAGAAGTACTTCACCTGGCACCCATCGCACTTCGCGCAACCTGACAAGCTCTTGTCTGCGCTGGAGGCAGAGACTGTTGAGCCACAGTGGGGATCACAGGCATAGGCTCATGTCCTGTCTGTTAGGCATCCAAGAGGAAGCTAGTCACAATTATCGACCCGCACATCAAAAAAGACAACGGGTGCCGCACTTACGGGCTTGCTTGCTTGTTTGCTTGCTTGCAACATGTTTATGCCTTTGTTAGCGGCTTCTGCTCCACCCTCAGATATGACGTCTATAACAAGATGAAGGTTCGGTGAGTGCAGCTGCATTCTTGGACATCCAGCTAGAATTGCTGACAGAACCACGACTTCTTCACGAAGACCAAAGACAAGCAGCTCTACGACGGTGCTCCTCCTGAACCATTTTCTAATATTTCTACTATTAGTACTACTACTTACTAGTATTACTGCTATTACTATGATCACTATTATTACAATGGCTATTATGATTACTATTATTCTTATCATTCCCATCATTACTATTGTTACTATTACTATTACTAGTTTATAGAAGAATTACTATGATCAGGTCCACTGGACCCAGTTCCCCTCCCAGGCTGGTGCTGGCCAGGAACGTCTTCGTATCCTGACTTCTGCAACCCGGAGGTTGGCCGGAGATGTGGGTTTAGGATTTTAGGGTTAAGGGGTTTAGGGGTTTAGGGTTTTAGGGTTTTAGGGGCTTAGCGTTTAGGGTTTTAGGGGCTTAGGGTTTAGGGTTTGAGGGGTTTAGGGTTTAGTGTTTAGGCTGCAGGGGTTGTTCTCGAAATTATGGGCCTGTTTTGGGTAGAGAGTATATTACGGCACCTAATAATTTGAGGGGGAGCAAACTGGGACCCTAAACTTTGGAACTACCCAGATGGTTAGAGAGCAGAGAAACCTGGCCACATTTTGTAACGCTCAGGCCCGCAGGCTGTGGACCACTTTCTTCAAGATGGACTACTACCCTCACAACAGGCTTGGCTGTCTCTCTCTCTCTCTATCTCTTCCTTTCTCTCTCAAGTCTTGCTACGTGGGTTGTCCATGAAGGCCGGACCTATACACGTGGAACGACATGAATGAGTCCTCAGCTTATGGAACGGGCAGCGTGCAACCCAGGACACCTTGTAGAGCCCAGGCCCAGCGTCTTTAATGGACCAGAGGTGACCATGTGGAGTCCTCAGAAGCCTAACTCCCTGTAGTAGTTTCCATTTTCCTTTCCATTATCCCAATATAACCCCAACATAATCCCTATATAGACCCTATATAGTCCCTATGCTTCCGCTGCCTCCCATTCAGCTGGAATGGAAAACTACCTGGGACTATAATCCCTATAGTTTCCATTTTCTTTTCCATTCTGCCAGAAAAAGGCTTGAGTCTTCGCTGTCCAAGGCCTCGGGACAATTTGCACAAATGTAGCGAAAACGACTACAAGGCCTGCTGACGTTTAGGGTTTAGGGTTTAGGGTTTAGGGCTGTGCAGTTGTGCGCAATTCTAATTGCCACCGACAAAGGTGGAGCACCGAGACGTTCACAACGCAAGGATCCGAGATGGGCTCTCCTTTGCTCCGAGCGTGCTTCAGTATTAATGTATTATTACTATTACTACTACTATTACTATTACCATTACTATTGCTATTACTGTTATTATCAGTATTACTATTAAACCATTATTATCAGTATTACTATGATACGTAGTTCCAAGGTGTACGGCTTCTATCATCACATGGCCAGCTTCTCGGCAACCCGGTCAATACCACCTGGTCAATACCACCTTGATGCACGCGCGAGCAGGCAACGGTCGAGGGACAGCTGGTGCGAGCACCCAACGCCGGCAGCTCAGGCAGTAGCAACGGCAGGCCAGTTGATGTACCAGTGATGAACCCGAGGGGAGCTGTACTACTGACCTTGCCAGCTTGGTATTCCTGACGAAAAAGTGCGAGAAAAACGAAAAACATAAAAAAACAACAAAAAAAAGCCCTAAACCCTAAGGTCCGTCCATTTGTGCTTACGCGCTCCTTCTTCGCGGGCTCCCACAAACACGGAGCCATTTGGACGGGTGACAACATGGCGAAGCACCTGCCCCAAGACTCACTGGTTCTCAGTAAGATATCGGAATATATTATAGGCTTTGTGCTTAGGGTTCAGGGCTTTTGGGTTTAGGGTTTAGAGCTTAGGGTCTAGGGGACGTTGGGACAACAGACATGCTGTATATTTGGGTGTTTTAGCATCTTTAGCTAAGGTGGGAGCATTTGGCAATCTCTGTCCCGATGCTTGTGCCAGGGCCTCACGCAGGCTTCATCCTGTATGGCTGCAGCGTAGCTTCCAGTTTCATAGATCTCTCTTAGGTGGACCCAACACCCAGTAATAGGGGCTATAGTGGATAATAAGGAATACATGATGGGTCTTACGCTATTCCTATTAGACCAGAATTTCAGGGGGGGGGTCCTGCTGAGGTCTCTTTGCCTTTGTGGAACCTCCTTTGTTGGGGCAGATGTCCCCGGTTTCTTCTTCGTCCGGCGCCCAGGTTGGTATTTCCTTCCTCTTACACGAACGGGTTCTTAGTAGAAAATATGTGAACAGTGATTCTATCCCCTGATTCCCTATCAAGAACCAATGACTAGGTGAGTAGAGGTTGTTGTGGAGAAAGCTTCTTGTCTGACAGGACCCAGAGCCTGAGCTCTTCCGTAGGCAGGCAGCCTGCTGCAGTCATGGGCAACGATGGGTCTGATACATGTTTGGAAGGTGGCACCAACTGGGCATTTGGTATCCCTTCTACCGTGGCCATGCGCACCTAGAGCTCCACACTGAGATGCTCACGTAGGCTCTCGGCTTTCATGGCAAGCCCACGCAAAGGACCAAGCGGCGAGAACCCTGGATGCTGGGTGAGGAGATCACGCAAAATGTGCGCGAGCAGGCTCTGTATGCTTAGTGAGTACGACTCCTTGTACTAGCTCGGTGCATCACAAGCTGAAGCAGGTCACTGTGAGATACCAAATGCTGCCCACATGGCTCGCCCTGCCTGTTGCAGAAGATGACTTAAAAAGAGCCAGATCCTCCTGCCTCGGGTTTAGGGTTTAGGGTTTAGGGTTATGGGGAAACCATATGGTTAACTACTGTATATATATATACATGTATGCCCAATATGGTAATTTTGTTTAAGCTCCTTAAAAGCAATCCAGTTTAGGGTTTAGGGTTTACTGTAGGTACACCTTATTCGCCGAGTGGGCCTTGTCGGGCAAGCCCATCCTTCGGCCTCTATGGTACGAGGACGGAAGCAGCGCTTGAGGCATCAAAAAGCCTTGAAAGCCCTCAAAAGCTATCCATTGTTCCATTGTCCCAAAACATCCCCCAAATATCCCAATATATACTCTACTAGAGTAGTTTCCATTAACCCCAAAATATCCTAATAGATACCTTGTTATTATAGTAGTTTCCATTTTCCTTTCCATTATCCCAATATAACCCGCTACTATTCAGGATGCCAAGGATCCAGAGGCAGCGGTGGCCCGGCTTGCTGTTGCAATTGGGAGTGGTTATGCGAAAGGCCTTCCGGCACCAGAACACGCACTTCCTGCTGGGAGCTTGACACAACCCTGTCCTTGCTAGCAAGAATAGAAATCATGGTAATAATAGTAATAGTAGTAATTCAGGGCCTTGCTGGGCAGGCTAGGTAGCGACGTGCTCGTGCGCGCGATCACGAAGCCTCGTGAAGAGGCTTTGGATGTGTATCTGCTTCGCGCTCAGCGTCATAGGCACATGGCTGTCTTGCTACAATGCTTAGAGCACAAGGCCCTCTGGAAGCTGGTTTGATTTCTGGGATGCCGAGGTGGTACATGGGAGGGTTGTCAAAAAATATGGTCCCCTTTCTGGGTATCCTACATGTCAACCGTAATATGATTGGAACCCAGAAAAGAATTACATATTTGACAACCTACAATATACTTACTGGGGTTTGTAGGGAATAAGGCGATATAATCCTTATATAGCCCTTATGTAATATATTCGCTTATTCCCTACTAGCCGCTAGTAAGTCTGGCCATGCATGTCTGGCATTGACCTCACCCAACATCCAACATGTAGCTGAAGAGGCGAAGCCACTGGCGGGTGGTCGGTCATACTCCATCAAGGCGGCAACCATTGCATACTCTGTTGTCCAGTGGTGATTTCCCGAAATAGGAGGAACCCCATATAGACCCCAAAGTGCCAGAGTCCTTACTACAGGGACCCCAAAAAGCAAGCCCTAACTTTGGGAAACCCTAATCCCAAAACGCTATAACACTTGTATAATCCCTATAATCTTATTAAAAAGACCCACATCCAATGCAGGCAGATCCCGCCCACGCCGGGAACTTGACCAGAGAGCATTCAAGCAGCGATGTGCTTTCACAGTTGTTTGACCAGGTTCCTGTCTACGTCAGGGCTGGGGCAATTCTTCCCAAAAAGATGAGGCAGTTGCTTGCTTCTCTTTACCAGGACCCTCCTTGTACCCTTTACATATAGGGGTATATGGTCCGTAGTTTGGCTATATAGAGGGTGGATGGAGGGTCTAGGTACTTCCCAATCCGATCCAAACGCCCATTCGAAGCATTCATGAGGCGTCGCCGGAGCTCCCTGACAATGGCATCTGACCCGTGACCTCAAGCTTCGAGTATCCAGAAAAAAGTCAATGTGCAACAGCAGGTACACAATCATGGTGTATGGGAATCAGGCTGGAGGCAGGAAACTCCCTGAGTCCTACTGCAGCTTAAGGGAGACGGGAGGTGTGGATTATCAGAATAATCCCTATGTAATCCTGCTTTTGCTCCCGCCACTACCCTAAACCCGGGGGGGGGGCAAGCTGTCAGGCCACGTGTACATGGATGATGGCCAGAGTCACGACTTCCAGCCGGGCGCTCGATTGCACGGAAGAAGCTGCCTTCGAATATGCGTGGGGGGGCTTCCAAAAGTCAAGGAGAAGCCCAAGAAGTAGAGTATATGGTAGTTTCCCAAAACAAGGGGACCCTAATGTAGACCCCAAAATACTATAGTCCTTATTATGGGGACCCCCAAGAAGGTACCCATAACTTTGGGAAATCCCCATATTGGAGTTTTATACTGTGCTCCCTGGCTGATAGCCTCTTTTTGGGGTGCTTAAAAACCAAGGAGTATAGCATGGTACCCATTAGGGTAATATTAGGGTAATATTGGGGTTATATTAGGGTAATATTAGGGTAATATTAGAGTAGTATTAGGGTAATATTAGAGTTATATTGGGGTTATATTGGGATTTCTGTCAGCGTCCCACAGTTCATGGAAGCCCCCATGTGCTTCCCTGGCCCCGAGGGGTAGGTGAAATAACGGCCCGAAAAACTCAAAACCCAGGAAAGGCAATTATTCTACATACACTGGGGGGTCCAGGTCATAGTACTGGTAAACCCTAAACCCTAAACCGTACCGGCAGGCAGGGTCATTTTGTGTACGACAAGCTCAGCTTCGATGGCCAAGTACTAGCTTCGGAGTGCTAAGCTCAGTCAGCTGGGTTGCTGTTATCTAAGAAACTTAGGGTTTAGGGCTTAAGTTACCATGATATGGGTATATAGTGAACATTTGGGTTTCCTTCACATTGTAACTTTGTTTAAGTTCCTTAGCAGCAACCCAGTCAGCGCACGTCCTTGTTCTTATCATATCCCTCCAAAAAATGCCTCTTAACCCCCGCAAAAGATTGCTCTCGATTTTTCTCATACTGTTTTTTGCGCCCTGCGGACTTATAGGCTGAACTCAGACTTCCATGTTGTTTCCCTCCCTGTCTTCGCTACTGATTTGCTGGAGGCCTTCCCAACGCCTGCACGTAGTTGGTTCGGCCAAAGGCGTCGGAGGCCGGCCAATCACCTGTCAGACAAAGCCACAGATTGCATGCACATGTGCGGTGTGGAGCATAAATGTAAAAATATATATATATATATATAGAGATAAATGACTATGTATATACATGTATATTCATTTATCTCATCATATCTATGTGTGCATACACGCCTTCTGCATGTGAACTCGTGTCTTGTTATGTTACCAGTAGACAAGACGGATGTATGCATGTTACTTGCATTCACACGACAAAGTTCTGCCCCCGGTACCAAGGAGCTACATCCAAGGGAAGTACGGCAGTGGAGCGACTGGTCTTCGTCGGGCGCGGATCACAGAGATATTCGTTCTCTTTGTCGCAGGCGGCTACAGTAATGACATGGTAGTTTTTGCATGCCGAGGAAGATTGAGCATTAAAAGTTCTGCTAGTAAAACGCTAATGTTTACGCAAACACCACTAACTGTAGTATATTAGGGTCTATATTGGGTTTTCCAAAATTAGGGATACCTCTTTGGGGTCCTAATAAGGTATAATCGGCAATGCTTACTGAATACCCTTAGGCTCAGGGTTGTTTCGAAGGCCTTGTCGTTGCACTCCCCAAAGATTCCGCAACCCGACACAGAACAAACCCATTATAGTAGTTGTCATTTTCTTTTCCACTATCCCAATATTACCCCCATATACTATATCATATTATAAGATACTATAATGTACTCAAATACACTAAAATATACTATAACATATTGTAATATACTATAATATACACAACTATACGAAATAATCTACTATACTATAAGAAACCTTGAGGGTACTCCACTTCTGAAGGCTGCCATCAAGCCCGGCAAGCGCTTACCTGGAGGGCACGGATGCGAAATTCGAGGCACAACCAAAATCATACCCTGCGGGTCCAGGTACCCAAATAGTAGATCATTTGGGCCCAAATGGGTTCCTGTACAGGTACTTTGGGCTCGAATTATACATAGGGATAAGTAATGTTGTGCTGCACTGCGCTAGAATAATGAGGTCTTGAAGAATGTCTGTTTTTTTTTTGTCATGCCTAGGGGACCCCGTACTCTGTAATAGTGGTATATATAGGAACATCAACAGACCGCAATTTAATGAGGATCATCCCTCATACTATATTACTGGGTGGGTGGGTGGGTGGGAAGCACTTATTGTCGGCTTCAGGTGACCTCTTCGCGCATGCAAAGTGGAGCTTGGGCCGGCTACGCAGTTTAGGGCTTCATAGGGGTTATATAGGGAGTATAGGGTATATCTTGGGGTTATGTTAGGATAAGGGACAAGAAAATGGAAACTACTACAATGGGGTTATATGGGCATTTAGGGCTTTAGGCCACTTGCGCCATCTGGCAGGGAATATCGTGGTTAAAAAACATGGCGTTTCCCTAAATTAGGGGTACCTGGGGACCCCATTTAGGGAAACTACCAACTCAGGATGAGTTCAAGGGAAACATGCGAAGTCTTTCGCCAAAATTAGCCCTAAACCCTAAACCGGGTCCTGGCCGTCAGGTTGCTACCGTGAAGAAGCCGCACTGCCAACTGGGCGCTCCATGGTGCGCCAATTCTCCAACTCTTTGTCAGCAGGGTGCAAGAGTGGAGTTCCATAATGATCCGCAAAATGCCCTAAGAAGACCTACGTTTCCCTCTCCAATTCCTTTTAGGGTTTAGGGACAAACCTCAGCTTTGCGCCTCCCAGTCTTCCTCATTCCACCTGAGAACCATGCAGGAAGTTGCGGCTTACGTTCTAGCTGGCGCTGTCTTTGGCGGAGAGGCGCGCGTGGCAGCAGATGCCCAGAGCAGAATGCCATTATATGAGAATACAGTAATGGGACGTACCTATGTATACCTACGTAACAGAAACAGACTAAGATACGGACATGTAAGTATAGAATGCCATACTGACAATGCCGCGCATGTTCTAGCAACTGCCCCGTCAAGGTCACAGTCAACCAACAAGCTTGAGGTGTTCCAGCTCCTCACCGTCCAGTTTCACTGAGTTTCCACAGAAGCGCTCGGGAAATGATAAAGCAGGTGTGCTATATATTGCAACATGGGCCCCTTACGTCCCTAAAATTGTTGGATTTCAAGGGCAAATGGCTAATCAATGCGTATCCACCAGTTTATGTATGGTCAATGCATAAGCGGCTGTGTTGTTCTTGAGCTTGCCTGAAACTAGGCCTTCATAGGCCTTCCCTAGCCGAGCAAGCCTCAAAAGTAGCAGTTAGCTGTGCAGCTACCAGCCATGGCGACGGATAACATTGGCATCCTTCTCCGCGGTCCTACGCAGACGGGTAAGTCGACTTTCACGAACATGGCAGCTCACCTGCATCACAAGTGCCAGTAAATGCCAGCAAACACCGCTGAAAGCAGGCAAGTTGAAGCCCTGAGCACCGAAAGTAAACGGCACGGCCAGGTACGGCAGAACCATGACCGGGGCTTCGTACTGGTGACGGCTCCGGCGAGTCTGTGACGCACACCACGACCGCGCGCCGAACATCCATCGGTCTTGTTGTCGATGGGCCAGGTGACAATGACTCCATGCTGCGCTTCACCAACGAGGAAGCAGGGCAGCAGTATGCCGCGGCTGCGGCAGCCCTCCATGTACATCGGCTGAAGATTGTTTTTCGCGAGCCTTGCATCTCCCTCTAAACAGCTCCGGGCCTCAGCGCAATCTCTTGTGGCCACCTTCGGTGCCGCAGTCCTCGAGGAGTCGTGGTGGTGGCCTCCCAGGCAGACCTTCGCACAGGTGCTGCGCGCGAGAATCGGCTGGAGGCACTGCGCAATGTCATGGCAGAAATGACCCCCCGAGAGCTGGCTGTGTGGCATGGGGAAAACCTGAATCAGGCCGGCGTGCAGGCAGAGGTTTCTGAGCTCCAGGCTGCTTCAGCGAGTCCCAGGTGCCGATGGGGTTGCAGGTACTTGAGTGACTATGAGTAGTCGCATGGTGCATCAGTGTCGCTTGGGGGGGGTGTGCCATTGCTAGGTGTTTCCACGGCGGAGCTGGAGGACTTGTGGCAGCGACAGCGGCGTCGGGCTCAGGAGCTGTTCGATCGTCAGCCCCCACGGGTGAGGGAGGTCCAAGTGGAAGAACAGCAACTTGGCACTGTCAGCATGGGGGTTCATAGTCAAAGGCAGATAAGCTTGTAGTGTCAGAGGGAAGACTGAGGTTGATCGATTGTTGGCATGTGATTTCGTGCCTTTGAGTCCAAGGTTTGCGGAGCCCTACACGGTTCAGGAGAGCTATGAAGATCAGGAACCCTATACTGCGCAAGAGCCCTACACTGTGCAGGTATCGTATGAGGTTCAGGAGCCCTATGAAGAGTATGAGCCCTACACAGTGACCGAGGAACAGGAGACTCAGGTGGATGTGCAGAAGCGCAAAGGACCAGAGCTGTGACAGGGTATAGGACCGTCACAAGGCAGAGGGACGTCACCCGCTACCGAAACGCAAGACGCACCGTGTCACGGACTGTTGAGTACTTCCTGCCTGTAGAAGACTTCTACCAGACGGCCCTCGAACAGATCCTTGCGGAGATCCATGCAAGCTTTCGGGCTGCTGCCAGGGACACCTTGCGACCCGAAGACTCGATTCCGCAGCAGCAAGACCTCGCGATGACGCCCCCAGCTGGCAGTGATGATTCTTTGTCCTTTGTTTCCATCAGTCAGGGCCAGAGAGCAAACTGTTTTGTGCCAGATGCGCTCTTCAAGGTCAGTGCTCCAGGTGGGTAGCTTCCCTGAATAGGAGGACCCAATATAGATCTAGCCTCTATTATAGGGAACCTGTGAGAATTCTCCTTGATGCAAGCCTGTTCGTTGTCGTTGGCTTTGTCAGCCGGCCCAAGAACTAGCTGGTGCGCACAGACAGCATGCCTGCACTTTCTCAGGTCCGCTTTTGCAGAAGCTTTTCACATACCGAGACTTTCTAAGACTTTGCATGTTCTGCGTGTAAAAGAGAAGTGCGACTTCTGCTGCCAGCGCGTGACTTCGCACTGGTAGCGGAGCTGGTTGCTCCCTGCCATGGCCGCTTCTGACGCGAAGCCTTTCTGGAAGGACGATGAGATTGCTGTGGACCGAGACGGCATTCCTCGCTTTACTGGAGCCAAGCCAGAGCTGATGAAGGAGTACCGCAGAAGAGTGCTTTTTGCCTACAACAACCTCGAGGGCAGTGGCGACGACGAAGCCAAGGAAGCTCGGAGTTTGAAGAAGAAGAAAGCACGCTTTGCCAAGCGACTCCTGGATGCTCTACATGGTGAGGCATGGCGCTCGTATCAAGATCTGCTTCTGGACGCGGAAGGCTTGCGAAAAGAGGACGGCTACAAGAAGGTCTTTGCTGCCCTGCAGTCGATCGAGAAGGTCGGCGTGATCAAGAAGACGGAGGCCTTTGACCACTTCTTCGAACGCTGCTACCGGAGGCGAGGCCAGTCCATCGACCAGTTCCTGCGGACACGAAGCGAGGGCTGGAGCGACCTTCGAGACCTGGCCGAGGGGATCAACATGAGCGAGGACCTCCTGGCCTACTTCTTGCTCAAGAGTGCCAACCTCAGTCGTGAAGAAAGGCGACAGATTCTGCTGGCAAACCAGTCCGACTACAGTTTGGCAGGAATTGAAAAGGCCCTTCGCGTCTCGTTCTTTGACCTCCACGAGAAGGAGAAGGGACGTGACTGGAGCTCGACCGCAACGAGGAAGCCAGCCAAAGGCTTCGGCAAGCGAAGCTATACTTGGCCGAGGACGGCGAGGCTGGCGAGTCGGATGGTGGCACGGCGGACGAGGGCGAAGCCTATGACGAGGAGCACGCTTTGGAGGCCGAGGCCGAGCAGCGCGAGCAGGAGGAGTTCTCGGACGTTGGCGCGTCGAACGACGACGAGGTCTACGAAGCCTATGTCACCTACAAGGACTCGCGAAAGAAGTTGAAGGAGATACAACGTTACAGAGGCTTCGTGAAGAACCGCGACGACCAGGTGGAGGACCGACGTCTTGCTGTGCAGCGAGAGAAGCAGAGGACAAGGTGCTCTGCCTGCAACAAGCTGGGCCACTGGGCAGGTGATGCCATCTGTCCTCGTCGTTCTGGAGGCGGGCCAGCAAGGGGATCCTCGAGCAAGGGTTGTGGCAAGAAGGGTCGAAGCTCCTCATCTTCCAAAGGGTCTGGCAAAGCCTACTTTGTGTCAGAGGCCAAGCCGCTGTTCTTCTCCCTCGGCGCTGACGACGATCAGGAGGAGCAGTTCTGCAACATGGTCCGTGACACCGACGGCGAGAAGGACATGGAGCAGGACGCCGGCAACACGTACCTCGATAAGCGCCGAAAGGAGCCAGGGCGGAGCCAGAGAGCGACAGTTCCGCTTGGGAGGCCGTTGCACCGCCGTATCCCATGGCAAGCAGCAGTGCAGTGCCTGAGGAGTTTGCCCCTTTCGTGCCCAAGCGTGACGCCCCGAAGCCCAAGGAGCAGGACCAGCGCATCATCGTCAGTGTGCCGGCCGACAAGATCAAGAAGATCCACGTCAAGTCCTTGGCCCTCGCGCGCCCAGCAGGCTTGGAAGAGATGAGGGTCAGGGAGCTGCAAGCCGATTGCGACCGTTGGGGCATCGCGGTTTCCGGGTCAAAGTCAGAGGTCTTGCTTCGACTTCGTCGACTTTATGGTGGCGAGATGGTGCTGCAGAAGGGCTGCGCAACCAGATATGTGCAGTTGATCCCGGAACCTTTGTCGACAGCGGCGGCGCCAACGGGAAGCAGGACTTCGACGGCATCGGCGGGTAGAATGCCGATGACAGCACCGGCGGCTACCGGCACCACAACGGCGACGGCATCGGCGGGTAGAATGCCTATGACTGCGCCGACGGCTACCAGAACCACGATGACGACGGCAAGGGCAGCAGCGGCTGGATACGGAGGCGGAAGCACAGCAGCAATGCCCTCCACTCCTTCGATGCCTCAGTCTTCTGGAAAGATGGCTTTTCGCGAGGAAGCGGGGGGAAACCGCCAAGCCGAAGGACCGCTCGTTGACCCACGCACGGGAGTGGTTCGTGTTCGACCAACCGGTGCTCGAAGTTGTGTGTCGCTACTGTGGCTGCAGCATGGTTCCTAGGCGCCGCAAGGATGGAACAGCCTTCTTCTTCGGGTGCCTCAACTTCGGCAAGTCCAAGTCCTGCACTTTCTGCTACAACATGGACGAAGGACTGGATCTTTGGCGCCGCAAGCGCCAAGGTGGATCGCAGTGATTGCCGCCTCCCGATTTGGGAGAACGAGATTTCACCCTCGCTGGCTGGTCGAGCTTACGTGGCCGAGGGCGGGGATTGCAAGAATCCGGACTCGATCGATGAGATCAATGAAGCCCCTTTGAATTCGCAGAACGCAGACTTTGACGAAGCACTGGCTGGTACCACTTTGGACCGGCACCTTCTTGAAGACCGAGACGGTCATATCATCGAGGCCCGCGTGGCTCTCTTGGACACGGCGTGCACGGCCTGCCTTCACTCAAAGAAATGGAGACAAGCCTGCAGCTTGACACTTCCGCCTGGATACCAGTGCACCGCCACTAGCTCCAAGAAGACCTTTCATTTCGCCAATGGCGATAGTGAGAGTCGAATGGTGGTATGGCGCATACCAATCTTTCTCCAAGGCGTGGCCGGTGAGGTGCACTCTGCCGAGCTCGACACGGGGGCCACTCCACTTCTCTTCCCGATTCCGGCGATGCAGGCTTTGGACATGGCGCTCTACATGAAGGACCTGAAGGTTGGCGTCCGAACCCTCGACCTCGAGATGCCCATGCAGGTCACACGTTCCAAGCACATTGCCCTGGACATCGCTTTTGACCCGTCGTTTGGTGCGCGAGAAGATCGGCAAGCAGGTGGTCAGCCACGGGCGCGTTCCGATGCAGGAGACTTCGTGGCCTACTTTGTGGACGAGGCGCGGCTGCCAATACTTCACCAATGCGCGCCACCGGTGGAAGCCCAAGCTTTCTGGAGTCGGGGCAAGGCAGCTCCGAACCTTGGGCCCCGAGGCGTGCACACCAACGACAAGGTCGGGGAACTAAAGCAGAGAAGAGTCAACGAGTTGCAGCGAGCGGCAAGGAAGCACCAATTATATTCAACGCTCCTGGTCAGCCCTGAAGCACGACTTCACCATGGCAGAGCAACACGCCACACGCGGCTTCAAGGACACGGTGATCTTTGAACCTTTTGCCGGCGCCTTTGGCATTACGCGAGTTGCGGCGGAGGAGTTTGGCTGGACTTGTTCTCAACCGATGGACCTCCTTGACGGCTACGACCTTCTTTCCGGAGCAGGCCGACAGCTCGTGAAGCAGGTACTGGCAGAGCATCGTCCGTACCTGGTTGTCTTGGCCTTCGACTGCCGCATATGGTCATCGTTGACAAACTTGAGTCCAGAACAAGCCTGGGATCAACTTCGTCGAGGAGTCGGGCGACGAGCTCTGCAGTTGGTTCGTTGGATATGCCAGGAGCAAGATCGAGCCGGACGATACTACCTAGTGGAGAATCCATGTGGTTCCGTTGCCTGGTTCTTTGAGGGCATCCTCGGCAAGCTGCTGGAGAATGCGCGCGGCAAGTTCCTTTATGGCGACCAGTGTCGTTTCGGGAAGAAGGACTCTGAGAGCAAGAGGCCCGTTCGGAAGAGGACCGGCTGGCTTAGCAATTCGGAGCCCATCCTGAACCAATGGGCAAGCAGTGTGTCTGCCCGCCTGGCGCATGAGCAAGTTCTAGGAAGCAACACTGGTGGACTTCGATCCAAGCAAGCCGCAGAGTATCCCAGAGCGCTTTGCCGAGCTGTATGCCAAGGAGCTCTTGAGACGATGGTGCTTGACTATGCGGCCGACATGACCTACCACCAGGGCATCTCCTTTGAAGGCGCCTACGAGGGCGGAGAGGATGCCCATGACTTCGACTCTGGTGACGAGGATCAAGAGGAGCCAGCGGAAGACGAGTGGAGACTTGAAGACGGAGATCGACTTCTACGACTTCATCGTGTTCCACGGCGGCGGCTTTTCTTGCCTTTGTCCTCGACCGCTCCACCATGTCCGTTGGCATCACTGCAGAGCAGGAGGCGGACAATGATGGTGTTGCAGGACGGCGCCAGAAGAGAGCATGTCGACAACTGGCACGAAGCATCATGGAACCCGCGTGGGATTGCAATGGACCACCTGTGGACCGACTGCAGACGGCCGTCCCGGCTTTGGAGGAGGAAATCCAACAGCAGCGCCAGCAACAACCACCACCAGATCAACATGGGCACTTCGACGGGTCAGCGGCACCTTTTGATTCTGCCGCCTACCCGGATGACCACATGAGTGACTACGAGCCCTCTCCTGTGGATCGGCCAGCTGGACCCTATCCACTACAACCTCCAGCTTCTTCACATCCACTACCAGAAGGCACCGAGACGGAGCACCATGGCATGGAGGATTTAGATAGACCGTTGGAAGAAATCCGACAGCAGCAGCAACAACCACGACCAGATCAACGGGCACTTCGACGTAGACAGCGTACTAGACAGCTTCAGCGTGGTTTCTGGACCGAGGTTAGCCATGAGGGCACCGTCGGGCTTCTAGAGTTGACACTGGACTATGTGCAGCAGGAGGGGGCTATCGGGTGGAACAAGATCAACACCGACACCGACTTGGGGAAGGCATGGGTCTCCCTAGAAGGTGGCAGTGCCGATGTCTCCTTGATCCTTTGCTCCACGGTAGCCCGCAGGTTAAAGAAGCCGCGACCACATGCAGGTCCTCATGACGTACCCCTTCGGCGTTCCTATTTGCTGCTGGATGACGGCACGGTGCTCACTACGGACTGGGAGTCTTTGGGCACGATGTCACCCTCATCTCAGGTTCGTCCTTTGGTGGCGCCGCAGAGGCGCCTTTACTTGGTGCTGTTGAGATCGGAGAAGAGGATGCCGGCGAAGAGCCCGATCAGCTACAGCAACGTGAAGAGGCAAGGGAGAGGAAATGGCAAGCGTTGCCGAGAGAGTTGAAGTTGGCAATCAAGCGCGTGCACGAGAACCTCGGGCATGCAAGTCAGCCAGCCCTACTTCGAGCATTGAGGATCGCTAGAGCATCCGAGGTGGCCTGCTCGACTTTTCCGTTGCCCAGAGTGCCCACGACAGCCTAGGCATCCAAGACCATCGAAATTGCCCATCGCGAATGAGTTCAACATTATGATTGGCATCGACATCTTCAACGTCAAGGACTCAGCCGGTGAATCATGGACGTTCCTCAACACTTTCTGTCAAGGAACCAGCTACCAAGTCTGCGCTTTGCTTGGCGAGACCCACGGCAACCCAACTGGACGAGTCGTGCTGGAAGCTCTGAACAACTCCTGGATTAGTTGGGCCAGGTACCCTGAGAGGGGGATAGTGACAGACCGGGCCAAGTACTTCCTGGCAGAGCTTGCGGAAGACCTCGCAGGGCACGGGTGCCAAGTGGAACCTGCAGCTTCGGCATCTCCTTGGCAACTTGGACAAGTGGAAAGGCATGGCGCCATCTGGAAGCAGACTTTCAAGAGGGCGGCGTGGTCGCAACAAGTGGTTGGTTTGCAAGAAGTACAAGCCTTGACCGCGGCCACCAACCAAAGCAGGCGTGATGGCCTTCCTAGCATCTTCGATGATGGGCGACAACGTTGGTGCCGGAATGGCCTGGTGGTAGTCGTGAACCTCTGGGTCAAACTCCAGGTTGTCCTCGTTGCCCTCCAAGTCAAAGTCCGGAAGTCCATGTGGGTCAACAGGAATGTCGGCCGGCGTCGGTGGCAAAGTCGGCTGCGGCATAGGAAAAGTCGACGCAGCGGTTGTTGCCGAACCCTTGCTTCCACGTCTTCTCCGCTTTTCCTCCTGCGCACTGAAGAACTCACTCGACTTCCGCGCTCGCCTGGCGTCCCGTTCACTGGCTGCTCTCTCGTCAGAACGACGCCTCGAGCAAAGAGCCCGGACCAAACTGCTGGAGAGGTGTTGCCAGAGTTGTCGGCAAGGACGGCAGCCACACCGTTTGGGTATCCCACCGGGAAACCTTTTGGCAGTCAGTCCCGAGCACCTGGCCAAGGCGCACGACGAGGAAGTGAACCAGTGGCTGGCAGTTGGGAACGAGGTCGTTCTTCTTGATGCAGTTCCAGCTTCCGGAGGGTCAGGCTTTATAGATCTTCGTGGGGCGCCGAAGCCTCCAAAGCCACCAAGTGAGGGCGAAGAACCACGAGGAGATCTTGAAGTAGCAGGCGGAGACGCCATTTTGGACGCCCCGGAGCCGGAACTCAGCTCCCAAGGAGTTAGTAGAACACGTAGCTGCCGATGGGAAGCTCTGCCCGACTCAACGCGTCATCATTGGCCGTCTTGGTAAAGGCTTCCCTCGCTGCTTGTCGAAGTTAGCTTTGCGCCAACGAGGAGAGCTGCGAAGCCTACCTGGCGGCGGAAGGTGGACGATATCTGGACGAAAAGGTTGTGAAGCACTATGCCCAGCACGAGCACGCCTACCAGACCCTTGGAGTTTCCGAAGGTGACCTTCTTTTCGGTGTTCATCGCAATGACTTCCAGAAGCAGTATGAAGCACTTGCGGCGACCGCTCCCAACGACTCTGGTGCGAAGAAGAAGGGCAGGAAGGAGATTCTGTTGAAGGACCTGGATGCCAAGCAGAGGGAGCTCTTCTGCGGCAAGGGCGGCTCGGACGAGAAAGAGTGGAACGCCTGGAAGACCAAGGATGCTTGCGACATTGTGTCCCCCGAGCTGAGCGAGAAGGTGAGACGTGAGAAGCCCGATCTCATCATACCGACCAGGTGGGTGAGGACAAATAAGCATGACGGCCTCGTCGGGAAGGAGTTCCTGGCCAAGAGCAGACTGGTCGTGCAGGGCTTCAAGGACAAGTCGCTTGGACGGTTTCGTCGGGACGCCCCCACAGCAAGTGCAGTCGCTGAAAGCATTTGCTTGGCAGTTTGTGCTTTCTTCAAGTTCACGCTTTTCGCCAAGGACATCAAGAATGCCTACTTCTCCGGCAAGAGCGTGGACAGAGAAATATATCTGGAACAGCCGAGAGGAGGCCTTCCAGGTTTGCTGCCAGGCCAATTGCTTCGAGCCAAGAAAGCCATATATGGTTTTGCTGAGGCAGCCAGGCTTTTCTGGCTGGCTTTGAGAGAGCACCTTCTCTCCGACGGTTGGGTCGAGAGCAAGCTGGAGCCAGCACTTTTCTACTTGCGCCAGCAAGGCCGTTTAGTTGGCATCCTCGTCACCCACGTTGACGATCTTGAGGGGGGTGTCAATGAGAAGGTGATCAACTCAGCGTTTGAGCGTTCGGCAAGAGCTTTGGAACTCGCTACCAACCACTACAAAGATTTCATCTTCCGTGGACGTGAGGTCCGCCAGACCGAGAACAACCACATCGATGTCTCCATGAAGAACTACGCCCTCTCCATGAAGACCGTGAAGGTTGACTCTGGAAGACGGAAGGAGCTGAGGTCCGAGCTCACGCCAGAGGAGCTCATTGTTTTCCAAAGCAGCGCTGGTGAACTCGGATGGATCACGCGTCAACTGAGATGCGATTTGGCATACGAGAACGGCGTGGTCCAGAGAAGCAAGACGGACACCTGCGTGGCAGACCTCCTACTGCTCAAACAATATGTCGGACTTGCGAGAAGGGGGGCAGATTTTCGACAGAGATATTGGTCGGATGTTGATTTGAAAAGTGGCGTAATCCTGCACCTCGCGGATTCAGGCCACGCCAATGGCACTCCTGACCACAACGATGAGTTGAAGTACAGGAGCGTGGGCGGATACTTCATCATGATCGCCAACCCGGGAATCCTGAAGGGCGAGGAGGCAAGGGCCAATGTTTTGGCCTACCACTCCACGCTTACGAAGCGGGTTTGCCGCAGCACACTGGCGGCGGAAGCCAGCCACCTAGCCGAGGCGGTGGAAGCTGGCGACTGGATCATCGTTTTGATGGAGGAGGCGCTCACGGGCTATGTCGACCTGAAGAACTGGGACAAGATCATCGAGCAGAGGGAAAGGGCGTATGCCACTGACGCCCGTTCTGTTTACGATTATCTTCAGCGAGACGCAATGTCAACTTCGAGCGACAAGCGGATGGTGATAGAGGGCGCACTACTTCGTGAAACAGTTCGACGCGATGGGGCCTACGTCAAGTGGATTGACGGGCAACAAAACATCGCTAACGTCCTCACGAAGGCGAATGCTGAGAAAGACATCGTGACATCCTGAGAGACTTTCTTCGAACAGGTCTCCTCTGCTTGACCCAGACAGAGGCCAACCGCGTCCTGAAGGAGCGCAAACAGCAGCAGAGGCAGCAGCGCAAGAAGGTCAAGGATGAGCACCAGTACGGCAAGGCGCATCTTCGAGCTCTTCGGCGAGAGGATGTGGCGAAGCAAGTTGCGGGCATGGAGCTGATGGACGACAACCTGGACGACAACGACAAGAAAATAGGGGAGTGTGAGAATTCTCCTTGATGCAAGCCTGTTCGTTGTCGTTGGCTTTGTCAGCCGGCCCCAGAACTAGCTGGTGCGCACAGACAGCATGCCTGCACTTTCTCAGGTCCGCTTTTGCAGAAGCTTTTCACATACCGAGACTTTCTAAGACTTTGCATGTTCTGCGTGTAAAAGAGAAGTGCGACTTCCGCTGCCAGTGCGTGACTTCGCATGACTTCGCAGAACCCTAAAGAAAGAAAGTCCCAAAGAATCTGAATGATTTCCTCCATGCTGACGTTTTGTTCCGTAACTCTCACGTCAGCGCAGCTGATCACTCATAAGATAGAGCATCAGGTTGACAAAATCTTGGAGTTAACCGCTGCTGGCCCAGCTGCGCCTCTTCACCCATCGCGTGATTACGCCAGGCAGCGTTTTCGTTAGGTTTTGGTTTCACCCCATAGACCCTACAATCCTGTAGTCTTTTTTCGAGGGAGCCCTATACAATGGTACCCCCAAGTCCCAAAATACTTAACTTAGTCTTTTTTTGATAGGGAACCCTAGAAAAAAAGTCCCAAAGAACCATTATTTATAGGCCTGGGCCTCAGCATCCTCAGCTCTCATGACTAATTGGGGATTAGTAGGGGATAAGGGAATGCAGGGAACTCACTGCATAGGGTTTATAAGTAAACGACTATATTCCCTGTTTCCGTCCTGAGACCCAGTAAGATGAATGCCAGAAGTCAGGCGGGCGAAGTCCAAGCTAGCAATCAACGCCCTGGAGATGTACTTCATTGCAGCAACGGACGAGAGTGCCAGCCGGAAGGCATGGCAGGCATACCTGGGCAGCACCGCGTCCTTGAAAATCGGCTTTGACCAGGATGTTCCAGTCACTCCGCTAGAAAGCTAGAGTTCATGTCCAGCTGTTGCCACCACAAGGATGCACATTTTTCCCCTAAGCTCTTCCTCATTGCGCTGTGTCTGTGACAGGACAGCAGTACTTACAAGATCTGCACTGTTACGATTTGTGGGCGGACCGATGGACAGAGCTTCCAGTTGCTGGAGGATGGCCTGATACCCGTGGTGGGCATGCAGCCTCCTGGGACCCGAACTCCCAAAGCATGATTATCGTGGGGCACCCCGAATGTGAGCGATGCTCTGAGTTACAGCGTTTCGATGTTCACCTACGGCCTTTCCGCGGGAGCATTGAAGCAAGAAGGCTTGCAAGCCACAGTTCAAGGCCCAACAGGGGACATGCCATCGTTTGGGACAAGGACCAGCGAGCACATAGACGTCTCCGGCGTTTTGGCCCCAAAACGATTTTGTACAGATTCAGAAGTGTTGGCCACAGAGCCCTTTGGGACCCACTGCACCTGCAAGCCAGGAACCCTGGGGAAAACAGGCTCTGTGACATGAAGAATCCTGCGTGACCTTAATACACTATAATGCCACAAATCCCCAAGTTTGGCGTACGTACTTCAGGGCATGCAGGAGTTTTAGTATCCACCGTAATGGTCTTTCCCAACACTGAGTGCACAGTCTGGGTGCGACAGGCATGCCAGACTTGCTGCCACGGTGGAAACAGGCAAACCATGGACCCTGGACTTTTCAGTGGTCTCCTTCGGAATTATCTTGGGTTTTTATGACAGTATAACCGTCAGAAATTGTAAGGAATTGTATTTGTATTGTAGGTCTCCGAGAACTACAGTTTTCGTTACAGAAGCTTTTCTTTTGTTGTCTCTGGACGCGTGCATGCATGCAGGCGCTTGAGTGCCTTAGATATGGCCCCCAAGTAATGTTTCACATCCGAAGAGGTTTCAAAAGGATCTACCAGCGCTGGCACTCAGGTCGATGACATGTAGGCATGTAGGAGAGCTGTACAGTGAAGACTGCAGTGGTTCAAACACTGATGTAGAAAACCTATTATACACCCCATTACAGTAGTCTCCATGTCCTTTTCCATTATTATCCCCATATCACCCCAATGTAACCCTAATATTACCCCAATGCGTACCTATATACTAGATTCCCGCCAATCCAGCCAGCTGATCTTAAACGCTACCTTTCACTGATAGTGAATCTAACAGATAGCAATTCCTGTTGCTTGTCGGCTTAATTACTGAGGGCTGCTTGGTTTTGTTGGGCAAAGGAATTTTCAAGTCTGTGAATTCAAGACTGTAGATTTGTCCCATGCCCGTGCGTTTCAGAACTGAAAGGATGGCTGCTCATGTCCCCTGGGCCACCTGGCTTACTTTCTGGCAAGTCCGGATGCACAGAAAATTGCCACGTCAAACAAACATATCTTCTCGTGAATAGGTTGGCACTTCTCCTTGCATTCAAGGACAGGCATCGCATGCGTGCTAGTGATTTGGGCTCAAGCAGTGGATGCCTGTAGCCATTAATTTCCAGCCGCGTCTGACGGACAGAAAGATCAGATATGTCTCTCTAGCCCAAGATCGCATTGTTGGATGTCAGGCAGGTGTCCATATCGGCAGTTTGCTTCTGACCCGTGTTCCATAATCATGTCTAGTGCCCCCACGCCTGGCGTGGTCCCATCGGGCGACTATGCCAAACTCTTACTGGTTCTCAGTAGAGAATAGGGAAACATATTATATAGGGTTTATACTCCTTTGTCCCCTACTGAGAACCAGCAACAGAAACATGATCCACAGATGTTAGATTCGGCAGGGTAAACAATCATACACTAGTTGCTCGAGACCTACACACAACACCACACCACCGGCAAGAACGGTTGTGCCGGAACGCGGAGATGCTGAGACAGAGCTATCTGCAGCATGAGAGGCAAACGCCGCATGAGTTCATCCCTCAAACATAACTTTGCACAGCAAGTTTCACGAGCAGATGCAGATGCTAATGCTGTAGGAATTGCGCTGAATCCCGGCCCCGCCGCAAGCAACCATACCTCGGCAGTGTAGCGAGGACGGAAGTTCCCTGAGAGAGCACAATGTGGCTGAAATGTTATCCAGGAAGACCACCTGATCGTGCCCTTTTGTAAGCTTTGGTCATTCCTGTGGATGAGCGAGGCATGAATTTCTAGGCCTGCCGTACTGCTCCTCCCGTGGAGAACATTCGGCATGCCCAGGATAAATTTCATGTGAGCTGTAGTCTGGGAGAATATAGGGACGTATTATAGGGGTTGCTAAGGGGGATACTAAGAATTTAGACTATAATTTCATGCAGGAGCAGTGCCTGCAGAAGTGCGTTCTATCCCTTTTGTGGAGCTGTGAACTGAAACATGTTCCTGTCGTAAGAACTACCCTGTAGTCCCTTCCAACAGCTTAAATGCATTCACAGCTTCAAGCAGGGTTGCAAAAACATGGATGCAAACCTTTCAGCTCATATAGTCAAAGGCTTGGAAACGCAGGGTGTTTGTACGCCGTACAGTACTTTGACAAGAGAACACTCGTCTGCCACTCTTACTCGTGCATAACTGCATTATTCCTGTAGTTATAGTGCATTGTAGGGAGGGCATGATAGGTTGAAGGGCGAAGACTTCATGGTGACAGCAGGTTTCGTCGGTACAAGCTTCCTAGCGCTGTAGTACTAACTACATCATCGTTCAAGATGCGCGATGCCTTGCCAAAGCCATGTGGATGTTTCTGGCACTGGCGCTGCCCGTGCTTGGCGCGTCGGATCCATCAACGCAACGGTTATGGTCTGCTCTGAAGCATATCACCGGACTGACAGACTCAGAGCTGTCTTATTTCGCTGATGAACTCTTATCTCTGCAGCCTCCATCACAGAAAACTTTGTGGCAAGAAAAAGTTCATTGCAATAAAGGAACCTGTGCCCCAGAAGTGGCCAGCCGTCTTATTGCTGCGCTGGGTGAAGGCGGAAATCTACCTTCCAGGGCATTTGAGCTTTTCCCTGGCGACCCTCTCTATAATTACTGGAAAGAGTCGGACAGACAAGAATTCCATTCCTGGGTTGATGGAGAGGCTGCGGAAGAAGAGACAATTGAGGCTTTGATGCCTGAAGGGCAGCCTTTAGCAACTGGCCGGATACAGGCAGCCCATTTTACCTGGAAAGCCAGGGGTTTAGTTTCAAAACTCTTGGGCCCAGCAGCAGACACCTATGGCGCCCTAGGGCGGTGTTTAGAGTGGGATACGCCTTTCTACACCATCAAAGCGTTTGGACCTCTTTGCTTTCGGCACGACGTTCTGCAGTATGCTGATCCCCGCGCGGGTCGCCCTGAGAAGATGCAAACATACCTGAAGGGAACCAGGCGCGGTTTTGGGCTTAGGGTTTAGGGAGGGGTGGATATAAATGGCTAGTTCCAAAAATTAAGGTCCCATTTTGGTACCCCTAAGTGTTAGGTGGCGTAATTTAATCAATGAACCAAAAGGGGCCCATAATTTTGTGCAAGCCGCATACTTCTGTCTAGAAGATCAGGCAAGTGTTGATAGGCCTCCTTTCGCTGATGATGATCGTGGTCGCATAGTAGTACTAGGCGCAGGAGAAGAACGTGGACAGAACGTAGCACCACGCTACACAATCTGCACTGAAATTACAACAAAACATGGAACGGCATACTGGAGCTTAAGGGAGGGCGGGGGAGTGGATCTCAGTAAGTAATGATCCCCACACAGTCGCCATATCTACTTCCCATTCCCTGAAGGGTTCCTATTACCCTCGGCCCCGAGGAATATACCGGTTCCCATTTGCTTTTCCATTCCCCAACTGCTCAGCACCAGTGAAAGAACTTAGACCTATACCCCCAAAGTGGGTAAAATAATGGCCCAAAACCAATGGAAAGCTATTGTTCTACATACTTTGGGGGGGGGACCAGGGAAGCACTTGCAAGGGTCATGGCGCTGGATGTTCTGAAGCCGCCAACGTGGATGCCCAACGATTATGGCCTGGTGACGGCCTGAGCTTGGCTCTGGAGACCTTAGGGTTTAGGGTTTAGGGGTTTAGGGTTTAGGGGTTTAGGGTTTAAGGGTTTAGGGGTTAGGTTCAGGGTTTAGGGTTTAGGGTGGCTGCGGGCAAGGCGTCAGAGTTTAAGATCTATAGTCCCCCTTAAGTAGATAGAACATGGGGTATATGGGGATCTTCTTATAATATACCCAAAGCCATGTTCTATCTACTTAAGGGGGAACTACAGGCTTGAAAAGGTTTCCACACGCTCGACTCCATGAAGTGCCTATCAACAGTCTACTACAGATCTTCATGTTACTGGGTCCTAGTGACTGGGCTACTTCCATTCTGCTGAAGGCAGCTGTCGGGCTAGAATATTCCATCGTCTTGCCACCGGTATTGACCAGGCTGCCCTCACTATGCCTACAGGTACCGTTTCAATTCTTCTGCTTGAGGTCGTCTGCTTCTTCGTGCTTGAGCATGTTCCAGATGCCTGGCACAAGCAAAGACGTTTAGGTTGAGGGTTTGGTGGCCGATCGTGTGGTCTGTATGTTGGTTTCCCTGACGGGTCAAGATGTGAGTATTCCTACCAGAAAACTCGTAGCATGGCAGAGAGAAGCATTCACATAGAGGGGCGCACACTGTTGATGCATTTGCTAGTATTATTGTTATTCTTCTTATTCTGATGCTTACTATTATTAGTATTGTTATTGGCTCCGCCGGAGCGTAAACGCGCAAAAAAGGCATACTTGGCCGACCTCTCCGGATGTGGCCTGCGTGGGACGATCCACACATTCGAGGTGTTCCACGGGCCCGAAATACTGCGTATACCACGC